CTTCAGTAGAGCAGCCTCACACTTGTCCCACTTGTGTGCTTTCCCCTGTGTAACAGGAGACCGCACTACAGTTTCCAGGGGGAAGCTTTTTCAATTCTCCTTAAGGGGAAAAAAAAAAAAAAAAAGACTGAGCAAAAAAGAAAAAGATTGCATCTTTTTTTCTTTCTTTCTTTCATAATTGTGCATATAATCATTTAAGCAGTGAAAGGCAAAACAAAAGTATAAACAGCTCAAGTTTATTTCTCAATTCAGTGACAGAAGCTTTCTGAAGGAATCAAATGCTCTTTCATTTTTTTGAGACATTAAAGTTTTGGCTCTTTGTTCCTTCTTGATTTTAGATACCAGATCTTATTGTTTAAATGAATGACTTTTCATATGAAGGTTCAAATGGCTAAAGTGCTCCCTAAGAACTGAACAATTCTCCTCTTTTTTAATATAGTTCTGTTATCATATTTTTAAAACCTGTTTTTTAATGTTACACTTCCTACTACCATCAGGTGATAACCACCAAAGCCTCACAGAGGTTTGTTTTTTCCTCCTGCAAAACTTCTCTGCCACATTCAAAATTTATGTGAGGAATTGACAGATAACTCCAAAACAAACAGTTTTGAAAAGTTGTGAAATCCTGCTATTGTCAAATATTAAAATCTTTTCCTGGAAAACAAAGTAAAAGATAATCATAGCTTTTCCTATCTCTGTTTCCTACTTCTTCTGGTGCACTGTAAAAACCAACAAAAGTATTACTTTTATGACAGCTGACTATTAAACAGGCAGTGAATGCTTTCCATTTAAGTCACCCCGTTGTATCACACGGAGCGACAGTTGCTCGGCTATAACCACCACCACTTAATAACAGGGCACTTCAACCTATACAGTAGTGCTTTTCCTCAAGTGCTCGAAAAAATGAACTTCTGAACTGGCAAGCGGACTGTCGCCAGGAATATTTCTTAGGTCTGTTGAGCTATGGCTGATATAACTTGTTCTCTCAGAGACAGCTACACTCTGCAAATCCTTTCGCGATTTGGACACAAGAGGAAAACGCATTAAAAATATCCACTCTATTTTAAACAATATCCATTTCTGTTTGTATCAAAAAGGGGAGCTCGTGGGCGCACAATTCTTCATTTGATTGTTTTGTGTACTAACTATTGTTTAACTATTTGGCTGCAGCAAAATGATAATTCTGGGCTGAATAGATTACAAAAGTGTCATTCAGTACAGGGCAGAACTAACTTTCATTGAGCTTCAATAGTACCTTCAGATTTCTGCGATGTGCGAGATAAGCAAATGCTTTAGGGTAAACACAAACTGCTCCTGTAACATGCAGGGGTTAGTCTTTGGTTTTGTCCCAGTTTTAACAATCTGTTTGGACTGCACAAAAAATACATTACTTCGGGATCTGTGCAAGTACTTAGCATCCCAGTTTGGCTTTTTGCTCCAGAGAGCAGGTACAATCCCACTGCCATTTACAGGAAAGGGTCTGACTAGCATGGGAAGTGTTAAGTTTTAGTCTGAGCCCAGGAAAAAAAAAAAAATGGACACTGTGCCAGGAACTATCCTTGCACTGGCTGGCCAAAGCATTTATCGTCTTCTGTTACTGTAGGTTTGTTAATGCTACCTGTCCTTTCTGTGGCTTGTTGCTTATTGAAAAAAAAAACCCTCCCTCCCAATAATCACGCAAAATACAAAGTAAAAAGCTTAAGTAACAATCAGCCTTTGAATTGGTGTCAGATTCAATTTTATGCTGCTCTCTCTGCTCCTATCTCTCAAACCAACTTACCCACCCTGCTTATTATTTATTTAGTATTTCATACCCAGTTGTGCTGCACGTCATTCCAGTCAAGTTCTGATAAATCTCTATTCAGTCTACATGGTTTTTCATCACCTGATGCAGTTATAGATCTACTGACAAACTTTCTCTTGATTCTTGTATTAACCACTGGTTTGAGAGTACTCGGGTCTTCCTATATCGATAAATGACTTGACTTCCCAATATTAATTATAAACACACCGAATAAATATTTTTCTTAGAAGAGCATACACTTTTGAGTTTATGAATGACAGAAGCATGAAACCATTTCCTTCCTGGCAGTGTAGTAGTTATGTGCAAAGAAATGAGGAGTGCTGTTGGTTAACGGCATTTTAAATTCAGAACAATTAGGTGCAGTTAACTTTGCCATTGTTCTTTCTGATGCTGGGGATGGTGGGTTCTTACCCGTAGAGCAATTATTCCTTTCATAAGCGGCTGTTGTTAATAGCATTAAAACAAGATTAAATACAACATGTTAAATATTGCAATTATTGTGGAAAATAAAATTATTTGGTGAGCATAATGGGGAGCAAATCAAGCATTTAACATGATCCAGGAAATGCTACTCCAAACAATTGCATTTGTTTTATGCAATTTTTCCCCTTTGATTGCTGACAGATGCCGTTTTGGAAACAAACATCTAAGTAGTTTTCCTTCAATCAGGAAAAAAACCACACACCAGAAAATGGCTACATGTTTTGAATTTAACTCTTGTCAATCAGCATTCTGCACAACACTCCCTGTGAATAGTACTAGGACAAAACGATGCCTTCCAAAGACTAATAAGCCACAAAGATGTTTGCTTCTAAATCAGATCTGTTCCGAAGGAAGAAAAAGCCTTCGTGCAGCATAGACATTTGTGCAGACACAGCTGCAAAATAAAAATGTTTGCAATATATGAGTGATATGTCAAGTTGGAAATAAGTTAGGTGTGTGTGTGTTTTTGCGGGCTACAGGAGAAGAGATTTGTTTTCCGACAGCTTTAGGCCTCAAGCAATGAATTGAAGCACTTGCCAGTCGCTTTCTGACTTTCTGCTGGAGAAGTGGCCAACTACCCACAAATAATTTGCTTAATTGTTGAGCAGAGTTACCTGCCGCAGCACAAACAGCGTGAGCGTGCCCCTCTATCTCCCCTCAGCAGCGCATTCGGATGAGGTCATTGTTGCTATCAAGTGTATGAAACCAGGAATGAATGCTAAAAAAGGCTAATAAAGTATATTAATTCAGATGACTATATCAAGCTGGCATTTTACAGTCTACTGGAAACTGAATGCATGAGAGCATTAGAAATGTTGGCATAGCGGGTGGTTTCTCCAAATGTTGGCTTCTACTATTCATGTCGGTAAAAGAAACGCGGCAGAACTGCGTGTAGCTCCCAGTGCTAGACACATCTTTAGGATCTTAGTACTCTGTACTAGATTATCTATTAATTGCATGGTATCCACTGCTCATTAACCCTTTCTTTATTCCCTTTGCCTCCCCTTATTTCTTCAGTTGCAATTGCTCAGAACCTTTTCAGCTGATTGCAACAGTGTGATTTTAGATCTGTTCCTAATTTGGGAGGCGTTTTCCTTGGGAAGCCTGAACTTAGATGAGTTACGAAGAGGATTTCCTTATCTCAAACAGTGACAATTAGTTCAAGTGCCACGTGAGAGCAGGCAGTTGATTTTTGGACAGCCTCTGAACTTATGCAAAGTTGCTGACAACGAGTGTGTGTGCTAGCTTTTGGAAATCCTATAATCCTGGCTTCAATCAAGAGGATCTGCTGTTGCTGAAGGCGTAAACAAGGAGAGAAGCACCACGTGACCACTGCTTCTGCACCTTCAAGGACTCCTGAGCCAAAATGAGCGCAACAGTAAAGCTTCTGCTGGATACTCAAGATGACACACGCATTTCAGATGATCTTGCTGAACCCAGGGAAAAAATTCCTTTCCCCTCCACAGGAAAGTTGTCTTTGGACTCTGCATTTCCCCCCGTAGCTCTGTTGTGTGTATTCCTCCCCGCTTCCCTCACATTCCTCTGATTTTCTTCTTGCCATCTGTATTCCCCTTTTGCCTCATCTGAAACAAGCATCAAGATCTTGTTTCTGACAGAACGATCTGTCAATATGGAAACACACTGACATCACAGACAGTGCTGTGACTTCATGTCTGAAAGAAACAGGAGGAACAGATGAAAGGAGTGAAGGGGAAGGAATGACATATACAAACATTTTTAAAAAATAAGTAAAAATTCTTTTCTATCAACCCCAAATGTAAAGGAACATAAACCAGATTTATTTTTAAGTCTAAATATAACCAACTATTTCCTAATCTGTGACCATAACTCAGCACAACATTTCAACATGCTTTTCAGCCAAGAGAGGTACCCGGCCCCTAGGAGCGTGTGCTTTGCCGGCTCAAGGCCCATGTGACAGCCAACACGACCTCTTGAGAAGGACTAAACAGGGACTAACCTGGAAAAAAGCTAATAACACTCATACCTGGGAGAAGCCTTTAGAGGGAAAGAAGGCCTCCTGCCCTAGACCAATCTAAAACACCTAAGTAAATGCAAATTCATAGAATTAAACATAAAAGTATTCATCAAAACCACACCCTCAGTTTTGATGCAGCTGGATCAAAGGTGGCAACACCCCTCTGAGGTGGGGATACAAGACATACCCAGGAAATATTGAGTACACAGGGGTGCAATATCACCTTATTATTATTTTCCTTTTCCTTCCTAGAACGAAATATTAACACAAGTGTCTAATCATTATTTCTATTACTAGCTTTTTTTTGTACAAGAATTTGTGAGGAGTTAGAAGCCCCTCATTTCCTTTACTATTTGAAATATTTATATTATCTCTAACATTAGAGGGCATCCAGAAGATACTGCTTTCCTACTATCTCCAGAGCCACTGCAAAACTCTAATAAGGAGATTCATAACTAGTAGTAGAGGAGCTCAAGAAAACTAAAAGGTTAATATATTCTAACTAGATGTTGGGTATAGAATGTCAGATCTGTC